TATGGTGAGCAGGACGTTGGTGCCCCGCTGTCACCAGAGGGTGACCATAGCGCCGACCTCGACCTCAGCGAGGCCGTCCACCACCACGTGGAGGACCCTACTCTCCCTATGGCTGAGCGCCTCCAGCTCATCCTTTCCACCCTTTCCCGGGCACGCAGCCGCCCCGGTCACGCAGGTGCGTCGCACTCCGAGGTCCCTCAGGAGGACCTCCCTCAGGGCTTCGTCCCTCCTCGCGGTGTCCTTTGTGTTGAGGAGCGCGCGGCTATTCTGGGCCGGCGTGGGTGTTTGCGATGCCGCTTGGACGGTCATACCTCCTCGCGGTGCCCTTACACTACCGCCCTCGACCGCCACTACACTGACCTTTCCCGCCAGCGTCGTGCGTCGTCCCCCCTCGGCGCCTCTTATCCCCGCAGACCCTCCTTCCATCTTCATAGCTCCCATCTCTTCTTTCGTCCCTCCGCCGTCCGTCGAGTCCACCCCGTCGTCGCGCGCCGACGCTGACGCTGAGGAACTCGCCCGATATACGGCCGACTTGGAGCCCGCAGTTCGTGACCTCATTCGAGAGTACAACAACATTTTTCCATCACCGTTCTCGTACGCTAGCATCCCACCGATACGCGACGTCGAGCACTCCATCCAGCTTGAGCCTGACTATCGTGTTCACCACCAGGCACCCTACAGACTCTCGATCCCCGAGGCCACCGAACTCAAGCGTCAGCTTGAGGACCTCCTGAGACTGGGTTTCATTAAACCCAGCAACTCCCCGTGGGGTGCACCCGTCCTCTATGCTTGCAAAGCGGATGGAACTCTCCGTCTCTGCATCGACTATCGTGGCCTCAACCGCTACACGGTTAAGAACAACTACCCCATGCCTCGTTCCGACGAGCTGTTCGACCGCCTAGCAGGCAACCGCTTCTTTACGAAGATTGATCTTCATAGCGGTTACAATCAGATCCGCGTCGTTGCAGCCGACCAGCCGAAGACAGCGTTCCGATCGCGCTTCGGCCACTACGAGTTTACGGTGATGYCATTCGGCCTCACCAATGCACCCGCCACCTTCCCGAGGGTGATGAACGACATCTTCAAGGACATCCTGGAGCAGTACGTTCTCGTCTACCTTGACGATATCCTGGTCTACAGTCGTACCCTTGAGGAGCACCTCAGACGCCTCCGCGACGTCCTTGACCGCTTGTGCAGACATGGCTTCTACGCCAAGTTGAGCAAGTGCCGCTTTGCCCTGCATAAAGTGTGTTTCTTAGGACACTACGTGTCTGACCAGGGTCTCCACATGGACGACGCGAAGATCACTGCTATTGCGGAGTGGCCCGCTCCCACATCCACCAAGCAGCTTCGCAGCTTCCTAGGCCTGACCAGCTACTATAGTAATTTCATCCGGGGATACGCTAGGTATTCCTACGTCCTTACCTCCACCCTCCTTCGGAAGAACCCACCCTGGGTTTGGACACCCCTCCACAAGGACGCCTTCCGCGCCCTCAAGAACGAGGTGACATGCGCACTGGTTCTTCACCTACCTGATTTTTACCGCCCTTTTATCCTTACCACCGATGCGTCAGACTTCGCTGTAGGAGCAGTGCTTTCTCAAGTCTTCCCCTCCTCTCCTGATTCCTCTCATCCTCGTATCCCTCGCTTCCCACCACCTACCCCTACCACTGCTTCCCGACTGACGCTTACTCGTCCACCTACTGACGAGCCTTCTATTGACTATTCTCCTACCATCGCCGAGGACGGCACTGTCGAGTCTCGCTCGGGTGATTGTCCGATAGCCTTCCACTCCCGTCAGCTCCTGCCCGCCGAGATAAACTACACTGCTGATGAACGTGAGGTTCTCGCAGTAGTTTATGCCGCTCATCACTGGCGTCACTACTTGCACAAGGCACCGTTCACGGTGCGTACGCACAACTCTGTTGTCCAAGCTTTTCTGACAAAACCAAAGCTCGCTCCTCGACAGGCTCGCTGGTGGCGCGACCTATCCGAGTTTAGTTTCACCACTGAGCACATCAAGGGTGAGACTAATCGGGTCGCAGATGCCTTATCCCGGCGCCCTGACCACGATCAGGAGCAGATCCAGCTCTCTTCCATCTCGGTCACCACCGTCCACCACTCGGTGATCGACGAGTTCCGCACTCTGTACCGCCACTACCCAGACTATCGCGACATCCACGCGACCCTTCGGAGTGGCAAGACCGTCCCGAACTACTCTCTCGGGGACAACGGTCTCGTGTGCTGGCACGCTTCACAGAGCACCAGAGAGCCCCGTATTTGCGTTTCCTCCACTGGACAGCTATGTGTCCGAGCAGTAGCAGAGTTCCATGACCAGGCAGCCGCCGGTCATATGGGCTTCCACAAGACGTTGGCTCGTG